CTCAGTGACTTTTGTGCCAGTGCAGCCTCAGTAGAGTGGCCCAGAAAAAAGCCTGATTATAGTAGGTTGAAATGTGATTTTGGAGACTTACATTTGATAGAATGGATGCTCTGGGGACCATCCTCTTATTTAAAAAAAAAAAAAAGATCTTCTACAAGACAATTTTAATTGCATTGTCCTGCCCACAAAAAGTAAGAGACATGTCCTAGGGAGCAAGAAACAGTTGCTAGGATGTTGGTTATCCATTTCAATTAAAATGGAATCGGATCCTTTCCTTATACCTCACCCCAAAATTAATGCTTAAAGACTTATGTGAAAGGATAAACATAATCTCTTAAAAATAATAATAGAGAGAGAGTATCTTCATGACTACAGAGTAGAGAAAGATATCTTAGGATACAAACACACAAAATGCTAACTATCAAAAAATGAGTAAATTTGACTCCACTACAGTTAAGAACTTTGGTGTATCATAAAATATATGAAAAATAAGTCATAAACTAGGAAGAGGATATTTGTAACCAACACAACCTTAAAGAATTAGTATCCAGAATACCCAAAAACTCCTCCAAATCTATTTTTTTAAAAAAGACTACCCAGGAGAAGAATATGTGGAAAACATGGACTGGGTAAGGCAAAATAATATCAAAGTAAGATTGGCAAAAATTTTAAAATCCAAATACCAAGTAATGGTGAGAATGTGAATCAGTGGAACCTCTTATACATGCCTGGCTGAAAGGAATATAAATTAATATAACCGGGAAAACAATGTGGCACTGTCCTATAAAAATTAACATTCACAAAATCCTAAGACCTAGCATTGCTTCTCTTAGGTATATACCATAAATAAACATTTACACATGTGGGCTGAGAGACATACAGATAGCAGCAGCATTCTGATCCATTCTCCTATCTAAAGCATTAGATTGTCTTCTTTATCTACTTTAATTCCTTTGCTGATGTCATCCAGTCTCATGGATTTAAAGCCTATCTACCAAAGACTCTGGAATTTATATCTCTGGACTAGGTAGGTATTTCCTTGAACTCCAGAATAATAAAGTGAATTGCTTGCTAGGTGAAATCTCCATTTGGATGACTAATAGACATTTAAAATGTAACATGTCCAAATTTGAATACCTAATCATCTCCAAATATGCTTCATCTACTTTTGTGCTATTAAAATTAATACTGCTATGAATGTTTTAAATTATATCCTTTGGTTGGTGTTATATGTAAACATTTCCATTGCCTATACACTTAAAAGTAAAATTACTAGATCAGAGTATGCATATGTTCAACTTTAGTAGATATTGACAGTTTTGTAAAATGGTTGTACTTTGTTCTTACCAGAAATATATTTAAGATGATGAATTTTTAAAATATAATTTATATCTTTTTTTTTTTTTTTTTTTTTGAGACTGAGTCTTGCTCTGTTGCCAGGCTGAAGTGCAGTGGTGTGATCTTGGCTCACTGCAACCTTGGCCTCCCAGTTACAAGCAATTCTCCTGATTCTGCCTTCCGAGTAGCTGGGACTACAAGTGCACACCATCATGCCCAGCTAATTTTTGTACTTTTAGTAGAGACCGGATTTTACCATGTTGGCCGGGGATGGTCTCGATCTCTTGACCTCGTGATCTACCTGCCTCAGCCTCCCAAAGTGCTGGGATTACAGGCGTGAGCCACTGTGCCTGGCCTAGATCATGTTTTAAAATCCAGCAATGGCTCCTATTTTACTCAAAGTAAAAGCATACAGTGACCTATGAGGCCCCCAAAAATATAACTCATTTTCCTCTTAACCACTGTAACCTCACTCCTTTTCTCCCCCTTCACTTGTGCTGCTCTGCGGACAGTGGTGACCTTGTTAAGTCTTAAACATGCCAGTCGTGTTCCCCCTTAGGGCCTTTACACTATAGTTGCTCCTTCTCTTGTCAAATGTTCTTCTCTCAGATATCCATATGGCCCACTCCTACACTTCTTTCAAGTCTTTGTTCAAATGTCACCTTCCCAGTGAAACCTAAACTGATCTCTGTATTTTAAATTGCAAACTTCAGTCTCCTCCCTTAAAATCCTTTTTACCCCACTGTGTTTTATTTGTTTTGGGAAGGTGTCTCACTCTGTCATCCAGGCTGGAGTACAGTGGCAGGATCACAGCTTGCTGTTTCTCAGCTTTCTAGGCTCAAGCAAGCTTCCTGCCTCAACCTCCTGAATAGCTGGGACCACAGGCATGTGTCACCATACCCAACTCAGTTTTTGAGATTTTTTTGTGGAAACAGGTTCACTATGTTGCCAGGTCTAGTCTTGAACTCCTGGGCCCAAGTGATTCACTTCGGCCTCCCAAAGTGCTGGCATTACAGGCATGAAGAAGCCCACCCAGCCTGTTTTTTATTTTATAGCATTTATTGCTTTCAGACCTACTTTGTGATTTACTTGAATACGATTTACTTATTTACCATGTCGTTATTTTCTTCCTCTAGTGTCCAGAACAGTATCTGGCACATTGTAGATAATCAATATATGTTTGTTAAGTGAATGAAAGCAAAAACAAACAAACAACAACAGAAACTCAAAAGAACCTAAAAGATAATGACAGAATAAACAAATTGTAGTTATTTACACAAAAGCATAAATGAAAATGAGGAAATTACAGCTATATGAAACTACATAGGTAAGTCCTATAAATAATATTACACAAGGCAAGTTACTGAAAACTATACACTTCATAATTTTTATAAAACTCAAGTAAGCAAATCAGTATCGTTTAGGGATATATGTGATTTTTTGTAGGAAATTATTTTTAAAAGAAACGTAACAATAAACTTAAAATTCAGATAATGGAGACAGCATGAGTGGCACAAAGTGATGAATTAGGTGGTGAAGGAGCACATGGATGCAACAGTGTTGGTATGGCCTGTTTCTTGGCTTTGATAGTGGGTTTGAAGTAGTTGCTTTAATGACTTGCACTGTTTTTTTTGTATTTATCAAATACTACATAATCAAAATTTTATTTAAAATGTGAAAGTGAATGTAAGGTCAGAAAATAGAGTCTGTTAATATTAATTTTTAGAAGTTTGGCTGAGAAAAGAGTGGTAGCTAGATGGTATGAGGCAGAAAAAAGGTGTTAGAGATTAATGGAATGTGTGGTTTATATGTGAAACTGTACCATGTTTATGGGCACAGATGGAATGGTTCAAAGAGGTTGAACAAAGGCAAAGATAAAAATACCACACAGGACAGAAATGACCAGTGAAGCCAACTCCAAGTGGAAGATCAGATCAAGAGTAAAATAGGAAAGATACCTTTGATCTAGTGAAGGAATAATGCTGCTTCTGCAAATAGAGGAAAGGAATGAGAAAAGTTTGTGACATTGAGTTCAATTTCATAACTTCAAAAGTTCAGTTCCATGTTAAATAACATTCAGAGTAGAATTTCAAGATATGGTTGAAGGTTGAGGAGGGCTCTTGAAGGGTAATGAGAATCTTTTATAATCACCTTAGAAAACAGGATAGGCAATTGACCAGGGATAGATTCATGAGCAGTGCTGACAGCTGAGTTAAGATTGTGAAGATACTAAATTTATAAACATGCGAGTCTGAGTACCGCTTGATTTCTACAGACAGGTGGAAGAGAAGATTAATTGAAATTGGAGATTTTCAGGGGATGGGGAAGTCAAAGGAAGACATGATGGGAAAGGAAATAAGGCTATGAAGGCAATGTTGGATCAGGAGAAAAGGGAGATCACTATGAAGAACAAATGTAGAAAAAAGAAAACTGGAGAGATGAAAGAAGGATATGGTGGCCACATGAAAGTTTGAGATTTCAAAGATGAGATAGTGGAGTTTTAAGTAGTAAGTTCCAGGATGTATCTCTGAACATGGGTTACTAAAAACAGAATGAAAGACACAGGTTCAAGGAACTTTAAGCCTAGATTTTGGACATTAAAGTCATGCTGATGGGAAAGAGTTGGGATAGAGAACAAAACTGAACACAACGCCAGAGTTCTTAGTAAATGAGGATTCAGCCTTACAGCATTGAGAAGGGATAGAGGATTGTGTGAACATATGCTGTGATCTCAAGAAAGAAGAAACTTTAGCATGAAACAGGAACAACAGTGGTGATGGGAAGCAGCCTTGGAGTATATGGAGACTACCAACACTGCTTCAAGAGAGGACAGGAATTCTCTGCTCATGGGGCCTGCTGGGGAAACTGCTGTAAAGGACATCCAGGCTTCATTTCAAGGCAACACAAGAAAAAGTAAAAAGGTTGAGGATATAGGGGAATTTATTTACACTGGAAAAAACTTTCTAATGAGCACAATTGAAAGGATTGAAAAGAGATGATAAGTTAAATAATCAGTCAAGAAATGGAAATACAGCTGTGTACTCTACTGCAAATGTGAGCCAAAATGAGGTGGGCTACAGAGGCTTACTTTTTGTTTAGAGGCTGAAGATCAGAGGCATGGTTGGATTTACAGAGGGGCTGGGTCTAGCATCTATGAGTAGGTTCTGTTGAGAGCAGGAAACTCTTTGCTCTTTGGTCTTGTTTTTCAGGGCAACCCTGCCTTTTCATAGGAATTTTGAAGTTAACAATTACCCTTCCCCATTTGTAAGAATAGGCCCTTACTGTCTTATCTCCTCTGGGGTGTCTTACATGTATTTATTAAGATCTATTTCTCTAGGTTATTATTTGCCAGTTCTTTTCCACCTTTGTTTGAGACGGGGCCTTTGAACATAGTTTACGCTTTTTGAAAAGTATAGCCTTATTATTAAATAATCCTGCTTTTGCCTCACTGTGTGCCCTTGGCAAGTTACTCTGCTTCAGTTTTCTTACCTGGAAATGATGCCCACTTCACTTACTAGGGATTAGGAGAGTTAATCCAAGTAAAACACTGCAAATGATGCCTAGTACATACTCTGCACTATGTGATTATTTTTTGAAAACTTACACTGATCATATTTTTACATATTATAACCATTATTTACTGAGTATCATCAACAAGTATACTTGGTACTTTAAATTTATTTGATTTCATTCTTATAACAATGCTATGATTTTGATTAACCTTGTCATGGAAAGGAGAAGAGCAGTACTTTAAATTTATTTGATTTCATTCTCATAACAATGCTATGATTTTGATTAACCTTGTCATGGAAAGGAGAAGAGCAGTAAATTGCCTTGCTAATAAATATTGAAGCTGTTATTATATCTTTTAATACCAAAATTAACTTTCTTGCCACTGTACAACTTGTTACAAACCACTATCATTATCATTAGCTGTATTTTTGTGTTAGCTGTTGATAAATTTCCTCTGAAGTTACATAGCTCCATAAAGTAATGAAAGATCTCCAGAAATTCTTATTCTTCTTTCCGTGTTGTAACTGGACATCTCTGGCCACTTTTCTGGTCTCTACTTGTTTTTGGATAAAGAACTCTGAACCTGCACCTGGGGCTGTCTTTGCAGATTCATGGATATGAGTAAGAATGCCGTCTACTCAGGAGAATTTCTTAAACCTGGGAGGTGGAGGTTGCAGTAAGCCGAGATCACGCCACTGCACTCCAGCCTGGGTGACAAAGTGAGACTCTGTCTCAAAAAAAAAAAAGAAAAAAAAGAATGCCATCTGCTGAGCACATGCACTGTTAAATGTTTAATGTTCAGGTTAAATCTTAAAATCAGAAAGAAAACCAACAGTGAAAGTGGTAGCCTTTATTCTGTTGAGAGGCAAATAGCCTGAAACATAAATCCCACCCTTGAGACACATGGCTATCACACCTATATTCTGTACACAATTATTTGTGTATTGTGGATATTCCTTAAGGATAGAGTATGGAGAATTATGTTATATACAATTGTCTCTGACATTTATACATATCTCTGACATTTCAGACTGAATCTTTTAAATTAATAAATATTATTCTCAAATTTTCTAAATGAAAATTAGCAGTAGGCTGCATGAATAAAAAATTAGAAGAAAGCATTTGTGGTGTTATTGAAGTAAAGGGAACACAAAGAATCATTTTACATCAAATACATATTTCTGAAAGGTATACCTTGATGAACTTTTGAATTGGTTCATAAGGAAGTCTGAAAGATGGTCAAATTCGGGGCAGCAGCAGTAGAAATTATTTATTATTATTTTTTTTTCTGTATCAGAAACGCTGCAAGCGGGAATGTTTGCTTTCTTTTCCTCTTCCCCTTTTCCCGGGTCACTGCAGGTCACGTGATGACTATCACGTGACTCGGTCAAAGGATCTTTTCCTCTTACAGCTTTGCGGAAAAAAAAAAAAAGACCGTTCTCCAATTAAAGCTGTTAACGTGTAACTACGCTGTTTCCTTGTTGGATTTTCTTGTTCTCTGCTGCTACTGTAAAAACAAAATGAGTGGTAAGATTTGCTGTTTTTGAACATTGTTTTTATTTTAAGACAGCATTGTATTACTTTAAAGTCATGCCGTGTGTTTTTTAAAATAGATGCCAAATATAATCGCAATAAAATATTTTAAATTGTTGCCATGTACTTACAGAAAGGATAGACTATGTAGAGTTACTTTGTAATTTTATATTCCACAGAATATTCCATTCTAGGATCTTTATTTTACTAGGTTTTTCTTTTAGAGCTAAAATCTGAAAATTGGCATCAGATTATTTGGAAGCCATTGTGAAAGCTGGCTTATAAAGAGAATGTGTAGTACAGCAGGAGCATGTTGCATTTTAAGAATTAAAACTCCTGGATACATTTGTAATTTTATTTTTTTAAAAAACTTAAATATGAATATATATTAACAAGGAAAAATAAAGAAGAATTTAACTTATACTAGATGAAATATCTATTTTAAGTCAGTGATGGCACTTTTTAAGTAGCTGGGGTGGGGAGCTTCTCTAATTTCTTAAGACAATTGGTTAGAATTGTTTACTCTTCTGCAGGTTTTTGAAATAGGAAATGTACCCTTAATAGCTCCATGATTGACGTAAATCATGCTCAAATCACGTAGATTATAAAGGAGCTTCTAGGCTGCTAGGTGTATCCACAGTTGTTCAGGTATTGCTACTCTTGTGCCAGGTATACATTTGACAATATGATCTGAAACATACTTAGTTTCTTCCTTGGGACAAAATCTCCCTCATTGCATAAAAATTTAAGTCAGTTTGTAGTTAATCTTGTTACTTCCTAAATTAAACAGTATTGTTGGAACTGAGGAGCTAATGAAACATTCGCATCATTAAATATGCAAGGCTTTAAGGTTTTGCTGCGATTGACCCAGGAATAACAACAGACATGAGATGCTGTAAATACTGTAATTCTAAACATTGATACTTGTAATTATTATGTTTATACATTAGGAGTTTGCGTTCAGTGTTGTCACTTCACAACAATATTTTAGGCATTAAATATGGTACCAATAGTCTTTAAAAAAAAAAAAATCTGGCTGGGCATGTTGGCTCATGCCTGTAATCCTAGCAATTTGGGAGGCCGAGGCAGGTGGATCACCTGAGGTCAGGAGTTCAAACCAGGCTGGCCAACATAGCAAACCCGTCTCTACTGAAAATACAAAAATTAGCTGGACGTGGTGGTACATGTCTGTAATCCCAGCTACTCGGGAGGCCAAGGCAGGAGAATCCCTTGAACCCAGGAGGAAAAGGTTGCAGTGAGCCGAGATTGCGCCACTGCACTTCAGCCTGGGTGACAGTGAAACTCCATCCCCCCCCCCCAAAAAAAAAAAAAAAAATTAACCATGTACCATTTCTGCCTCAGGATTAAAAAAAAAATGTACTTGCTAGAGTGAAATGATTACTTCATAAAGAAGTAAGTTTATAAGTGTTTTTTCCTAGACTACACCTATATTTGCTGATACTTTAGGTTACATTTGTTTTGTTTTCAGCATCACACTTAGATGTAATTAAAGAATAAAGTAGAATTTTGATTTGCCAAATTATGAACTATTGTAGCAGCTATCAAAGTATAATATAATATATATATAATATAGTTTGAATTCTGACTACATACATATTTATATTTCTGATAAAAGGAGGACAACTCGAAGCAAATCAGTTTTACTATTTTAAATGTAATTAGCAGTAACTTATTACTCTGATGGCAAAATAAAAACACCTATTCTAATGATTTGATTTAAGGATTAAATTTGACAGCTTATGAAGGGACCCACAGTAAAAGTGCAATGTTAATGTCCTTTATTAAGATTACAAATGTGATTTTCAATGAATTCTCTGTCAAGTTCTCAGCTGAATTTCACATATTATAAATAATATCTAAGCCACCTGTAAGGATTTAGGAAGTTAGTTTACTGTAGGTTTATATAAATTAGCTAATTAAGGTAAAGCAGCATTAGTTTAAAACAGTTTTCATTTCTCTTGAGTCTAAAATATAGAAGCAAAAAGGCAAGTTTTACATGAAGCTTTACTGCCTAGAGTTATAAAGCAGGTCACAAGTTTTATTCAGTAAATTCATAGGTAATGTTTGCTTAAACTTAAGAAAATTTTATTCTTTCTCTCATGTTATAAGGATGTTAAGACAACAAAGGCCTTAATTTTTCTTAGATGCTTTAGAGCATAGTTCTTAAGCCTCAAATTACATCAGTTGCCAATAATACGTAGTGTTATCATGTTTACTAACAATGTGGTAAGGATATATTCTTAGAAATAAAGCTACATGGCTTCGAATCCCACCTCTGCCACTTGGGGAGTTGAACCTCTCTGTGCTTCAATTTCCACATCTAGAAAATGGAGATGATGATGATAATATTTGCCTGTTAGAGTGATTATGAGGAGAAAAAATATGTCAGAGGCCTGGCACATAGTAAGTTAGTATTAGCTATACATAATTAAGATAATATTCTGGACAACTTCATGTATTTGGTGGGCTTGTCTTGGATGGGAAGAGTATCTTGTTGAAAGTTCTTTTCACAGCCAGATATTAAATAGTGTAACTTAGTAGTCTACACAAACACTTCTTACTTTCTCTCAACCACTTCAGTAGTCTTATCCCTACTTTATTTTCCCCTCTCCACCTCTTCAGTTTTTTCTCTCCCCTCCGCCTTTCTCCCATTTCTCCACACTGTTCATCCTCCCCCTTATCCTCTGTTTTCTCTTCCTCTCTCTTTTCTTGCCTTCCTCTTCACTCTCTCCTTTACTGCCTCTTGTCTCCTTCCTTATCCTTGCCTTTTCCTCTCTTACCTCTCGCCTCTCCCCTTCTCCCTCCTCTTGCCTTTCTCCTCTCTGTGCTTCCCCCTTTTTTTCTCCATTTTTCCCACTTTATTTACCACTGTTTAGTATTTTCCCTCTTACACCCCCTTTTTAAAAATATTCTCTTTTCTTTTCCCTAGCTCTCTCATCTCCCTGGCCCTAATTCCATCACCACTGTATGGTTCTGCCCTCACCCCTTGCTTTCCCTAGAAAGGGCAGAATGGCTGTAATCTGGATTTGCTGTGACCTCCATGCCCTTTATTCTGGTTTTCTGAAGTATGTATCGTAACAACGTTAACTGTTTTCTACCCTACAATTACGTTTTTTCCTCCTTCATTCTTTTATAGCTGAGAGTATATAAAATTATATAATGGTAGATTATAATTCTGCTTATAAAAGAGATCCTTCCCCCTTTACATTCCTTATCAGACTTTTGTACTATATTCTTTTAGAAATAAGTAATTTCTTTGAAAAGGTTTCATTTCAAGTTATTAAAAACCAGTGGGCATGAGAGGGGATACTGCAGTGTAAAGTTACAGGAAGAAAGGAACTGAAGGGGGTAAGAGACTTTTTTTTTTAAGTTATATAAAGCAACTAAGATTTTAGTTCCTAGAAAGAATAAAACACCTTCTCCAAGTGCTTCTTTTGTTCCCAGAAAGGTTAAAAGAGAAGGTAAACTAGAGATAATAGTTACAAAAGTTAATTGGAAAACCTAACACCATAAAAGTGAAAGGAAGTATAGAATGAAAGAAGCCGAATTTTCTTTTTTTAGAACTTTTTAGTGGGAGAAACAAAAAAAATTTTTTTCCTTTGGATAAATACACATGTGGCATTTCTCTTTGTTCTTAAGCCCCCATAGACGTGACACACACTTACACAAGTATTTTAACCCTAACAAAGCAAGTTCCAAATTTCTAACTATTGTTCCTCTTGCTGCTTCTAACTCTTGCTTTTATATTATGTCCCTATTACTTTGAAATTTTTGCCCTTCGTATTTTTCGTTGATTTCGTATGTAGAGTTTAGTTTGATTTTTCTCCAGTCAATGTTTCTAAACTTAAAACTATCATAAGAGTCACCTGGGATATTTGTAAAGTGAATATAATGATTCAAGACCCCATTGACTAAATAAGAATCTCTAGGAGAGACTGTTAATCTTTTTAAAAGCCCCTCAGCAACTATTATTATTATTACCTGGCAAGTTTAAGAAACACAAATGTAGGTAAAGGGTAATTTGTGCCCTTTACAAGGCAAATTTTTATAACAGGTCAATCATCTGAATTTTTTTAAATAAAAATGTTACTTTTGGCTTGAGTGTTTAGATGAAGTATTCAAAGTGTAATTGAAATTGTTTTTAACTTTAGCTCGATAAGCAATAATAAATCATTTCTGTGACCCATTCAGGTCCTGCTCAGGTTCCAATGATGTCTCCAAATGGTTCTGTGCCTCCTATCTATGTGCCTCCTGGATATGCCCCACAGGTATGTTTTTATGTTATTTTTCTTTTCATATTTATATAATAGTGATAATGTTATTCTCTTTGACTTTGATTTTGGTGAAAAATACCATTTAATTACTGAGGCTTACTCAGTGTTGTGTATCTATGATAAATTTATTTATTTCAATTATTTTAGTACATTTGGAAAGGAAGAAAAATTTATATTGGCAACACTTCCATCATTTGGCCTTGTCTTTGGGTATTAAGTCACAAAAGAGAATTTATTCTAGAGTTTTATCTCCCTAAATATATGACTAAATAAAAATAATATTTAAGTTGTAAAGGTGCCTACACTAACATTTTTTAATTTAGTCATTTGCTTAGATGTAACCCAAGACAATGCTTCCAACTTTATTCATACCATGAATCTCAGACACTGATGATAATTGTATGGCATACTGTGTTCAATAGAAAAGAGTTTAGATCTGCAACCCTAAGGGATGAGGGATCAGTGTCTCCATACACCTGTAACCTTTTATGCACAATGGCTGGGAAGCTCTGAGCTAAAAGTATAGCTAATTAATGTACACAGGCAAATTGAATTATACTGTGAAATCTGCAGGTGTTCAGTATCTTCCACTACTGAGATTCTATATAGTCTGTACTCATTGCCTCAGTCTGTTTTGGGAAATAATCAATTTCTCTCCCTAGCATAGAATTTACACTTGAAGTTTTCTTCAGGCCCTCTCTTACTTCCTCCTTAATTATGCCAGAGTAGTGGTGGTGGGATATTGGGGTGGATTTTCTGTCCACTCTATGAAGTATACCATCACATGAAAGACAGCAAAAGAAGAGCATGCTGGGAAGGAGAGAATGGAATGAGATTTAGAGTCAAAAAGCTGAGTCCATATCTTATTTCAAACATTTGCTGTCTATATGGTCTTGGGCAAATCAACTTCCTTAAGTCTCAGTGCCTTCATTATGAGATGAGATCATGTATTGAAATTACTTTGTAAGCTTTTCAGAGTGATCTCTACTAACTATCTCTGCTTTTGTTTAGCATACTGACTCCTTGATATAGTCTGCATTCTGCTTGTATTATTCTACTAAAACTGCTCTCCACTGTGTACCCAATCCAAAGGCCTGCTTTCTAGCCTAGTCTTCTTTGACCTCTAAAAATTTGGCACCACTGATAAGATTTACTGCAGATTTCCTTGACATCATGCTGCCCTGAATTTTTTTCCTACTTCTCTGTTCCACCTTTTCAGTCTTTCTTCTCTTATGTGAAGACTGTTCTCTATCATAGTTCAGTTCATCATTTATTCAGTGTTACTGTGTACTAAGCTCTGTACTGAGAGCTAGTGATATAAAGATGATTAAGACATGTTCTTTCAGTGCATTTACAGGTTTTCTGCTGTTCTTTCATCTTACAGTACCGTTGCTTTTTATTTTTTGTGGCAAACTCCTACCCTTTTCATTTCACTTCATCGTGAGCTTCTGGTAGCAGTTTTCCCTGAGCCTTTCCAGGTGCTTTTCCCTTTGGTCTTTCATGGCATATTATTAATACATATGTTCCTCTTTTCATAAACTTGTTAAACTGTTTGTTAATTCTCTTTCCTGAGAAGATTATGAATTCTTATAGTTCCTATATTCAAAAGTGTTCCACAAATATATATTGAGTGTTTACATATGTCAGGTAGTCTGGAGTGCTTCAAATATGTCCATGACTGAAAGAAGCAAAGGCTCATGTCCCTCTGTGGCTCATATTCTTATTGGGAGAGGCAAATAAAAAGTGGAAAAACTCAATAATGTTTGCCAGGCACAGTGGCTCATGCCTGTAATCCCAGCACTTTGGGACACCAAGGTGAGTGGATCACCTGAGGTCAGGAGGTATATATATGTATATACAGCCATTATCATACTGAATGGGCAAAAGCTGAAAGCATTCCCTTTGAAAACTGGCACAAGACAAGGATGCCCTCTCTTACCACTCCTATTCAACATAGTATTGGAAGTTCTGGCCAGGGCAGTCAGGCCAGAGAAAGGAATTAAGCATATTCCAATAGGAAGAGAAGAAGTCAAATTGTCTCTGTTTGCAGATGACATGATTGTATATTTAGAAAACCCCATCATCTCAGCCCAAAATCTCCTTAAGCGGATAAGCAACTTCAGCAAAGTCTCAAGATACAAAATCAGTGTGCAAAAATCACAAGCATTTCTATACACCAATAATAGAGAACCAAATTATGAATAAACTCCCATTGACAATTGCTACAAAGAGAATAAAATACCTAGGAATACAACTTACAAGGGATGTGAAGGACCTCTTCAAGGAGAGCTGCAAACCACTGCTCAAGGAACTAATAGAGAACACAAACAAATGGAAAGATATTCCATGTTCATGGATAGGAAGAATCAATATTGTGAAAATGTTCATACTGCCCAAAGTAATGTATAGATTCAGTGCTATCTCCATCAACCTACCATTGACTTTGTTCACAGAATTAGAAAAAAACTACTTTAAATTTCATATGGAGCCAAAAAAGAGCCTTTATAACCAAGGCAATCCTAAGCAAAAAGGAAAAGCTGGCAGCATCACACTACCTGGCTTCAAACTATACTTCAAAGCTACAGTAACCAAAACAGCTTGATACTGATACCAAAACAGATATGTAGACCAATGGAACAGAACAGAGGCCTCAGAAATAACACCATACATCTACAACCATCAGATCTTTGACAAACCAGACAAAAAAAAGCAATGGGGGAAAGGATTCCCTATTTAATAAATGGTGTTGGGATAACTGGCTAGCCATATGCGGAAAACTGAAATTGGATCCCTTCCTTACATCTTATACAAAAATTAAGATGGATTAAAGACTTAAACGTAAGACCTAAAACCATAAAAACCCTAGAAGAAAACCTAGGAAATACCATTCAGGACATAGGCATGGGCAAAGACTTCATGACTAAAACACCAAAAGCAATGGCAACAAAAGCAAAAATTGGCACATGGGATCTAATTAAACTTAAGAGCTTCTGCACAGTAAAAGAAACTATCATCAGAGTGAACAGGCAGCCTACAGAATGGGAGAAAATTTTTGCAATCTACCAATCTGACAAAGGGCCAGTGTCCAGAATCTACAAGGAATTTAAATTTACATGAAAAAAAAAAACCATCAAAAAGTGGGCAAAGGATATGAACAGATGCTTCTCAAAAGAAGATATTTAGGTGGCCAAGAAACATACAAAAAAAACTCATCATCACTGGTCGTTAGAGAAATGCAAATTAAAACCACAATGAGATACTCTCTCACTAGTTAACAATGACAATTATTAAAAAGTCAGGAAACAACAGATGCTGGAGAGGATGTGCAGAAATAGGAACACTTTTGCACTATTGGTGGGAGTGTAGATTAGTTTAACCATTGTGGAAGATAGTATGGCAAATCCTCAAGGGTCTAGAATCAGAAATACCATTGACCTAGCAATCCCATTACTGGGTATATACCCAAAGGATTATAAATCATTCTACTTTAAAGACACGTGCACATATATTTACTGCAGCACTGTTCACAACAGCAAAGACTTGGAACCAACCCAAATGCCCATCAATGATAGACGGAATAAAGAAAATGTGGCACATATACACCATGGAATACTATGCAGCCATAAAAAAGGATGAGTTCATGTCCTTTGCAGGGACATGGATATAGCTGGAAACCGTCATTCTCAGCAAACTAACACAGAAACAGAAAACCAAACACCGCATGTTCTCATAAGTGGGAGTGGAACAGTGAGAACACATGGACACAGGGAGAGGGGAACATCTCACACCATAGCCTGTCAGGTGGCTGGGGGATAGGGGAGGGATAGCGTTAGGAGAAATACCTAATGTAGATGACAGGTTGTTGGGTGCAGCAAACCACCGTGGCGCATGGTATATTTATGTAACAAACCTGCACATTCTGCACTTGTATTCCAGACTGTAGTTTTTAAAAAAATACAGAAAAAAAGCTTCAGAAGCAGCAAACTGTTTGAAAAGATGATACATAGTTTACACACCAAGATTATGTACTTTACACATAAATAAGCTTCATAGCCATTTCTGGGGCCTGTTTGGTCCTTAATTTAGGCAGAACCTTAATGAGCTTTATTATTGCAGTTTATCAAATAAGGAAAGTTTTAAGAAATTGACATACTGCACAGAGGCAGAAATATGTGCCAGTGGAACTAAGTTATCAAATGACGAAATGAAAAAAAAAAAAAACTGTAAATCTTAAACACAAAGCAAGTGCTGCCAGGCATATAAGGAACTTAATTCACTGGCAAATCATACTGCCTTAGAGTCCCTAAGAGCACTGTATTGCAGGTTAGGATAACACTTCTGATATTTCAGTGATGAAGTTAATAACTTACCAATAGAAGTTTATACGCTACCTGAATGGGATTCCTTAAAGGCAACATCAGATATTCTTCTGCCTTTCTTGTAATGGCTCCAACTGTTTTTTATAGAATGTGGGCTGTTATGTTAATGAAAGAGTGCCTAACAGGGAAGGAATTATAGATCACATAACATGGGGAAGGAACCTGCGTTGAATTCAGAAAAAGTTTCAGGTTACTCCTTTGAGCTGTGCTTGCTGTTTCATTTTGCCTTTATGATGGCACACAGCAGTGAGGTCAGTGTGTTTCTCAAAGATTCTGCAAATCAGTCTGGTCTCAGTCTTCTTGCTCTCTCTCTCTCTCCTGGGGAAAACAGCCAAAAGGGATGGGCAGGGGAGTGTGGGAAAATATAAACTGGGGAGACCTATGAGATTTATATGAGAATGAAGAGAGATAGTAAGAACTGGAGAGAAAGGAGAGATTATGGACACATACTGATGTGTATGTTTGTAGATACATAAATGTCCGTTGATTGAATGGTCTTGTTATTGTTTAAGAACTCAGAGTTGTTCAGAGCTCAAAGTTAAGCTGTATTATTGTTTAAGAGCTTAAAGTTGGAATAGTTCTGGGTTCAAGGCGAGCCCATAGAAGTAGGTTGCAAAAAGTAGAGAGGAAGCAAAGGTTGTAGGAATTGAGAGAGTCACAGAACCCTAATAGCTTGGTGGTGTTAAGAGAGGGAGAAAGAAATGTAGCATTCTGTTAGAGCTAAAAGAACACATATATTTCTGATCATATCATTCATTTAACAAATACTTTTAGAACATCAACCTATGTGCCAGATAGTATTCCATCTCCTTGGGGAAGAAAACAGTAAATAAAACATTTATTATGGGCTTTATATTCTGGAAAGGAAGATACATAATATAAAATGTCAGATAATATACACAGTTTTCTTTCTCTAAAGCCCTTCTCAATTATGTCTCTGTTCAATATAGGAAAAAAAAAAGCAAACATGTCTTTGCCTACTTAGAAATTAGGTGGCATCTGTGGTTAAGTGGTCAGACTATGCTAATACCTCATTTAATTATATTTTATTGCCTTGTATTTTAATCTTTATTAATACTGACAAATTTGAATTATATTTTATCTTTTTTTTTCCTTTTCATCTCTTACTGATTTTATTGTACATCACAATCAGTATACCCTGTTGGTACGAAATCTGATATCTAAGTGGTGGCGGTTTCTTAGCACCTAAGCCTCTGGAGACTTAGCAAATAGTTTTGAAGTCTGTTGCCTTCCTCTGAAGTTACTGGCTGCTTGAAGTAGTGGAGTTCACCATGCTCTCTTGGTTCTTGTCTGGCTTTTTATTTTCCCCTCCTCTGTCTATATCTTAGGTTTAGAGTTGTTATTGTTTTTTTTTATTTTTAATTGTGGTAAAACACATATAACATAAAATTACCATCTTACCCGTTCTTAAGTGTACAGTTTAATGGCATTAGGTGCATTTACAGCATTGTACAACCATCACCACCCTCCCTCCACAGAATTCATTATCTTGCTGAAAACTGGAGCTCTGAACCTGTTAAACAATAGCTCTTCATTCTCCTCTCCCCTAAACTTATCTTTGAATTTTAAAGGTTCTTTCTGAGCAGAAAAGTGGTTTTAATTTCATAAATAATTTAGCCATTTATTTTTAATCAAATAAATCTCTTATTGTAAACAACAAAAAGACACTAGATCTATGGATTCTATGCCCACGTAATAAATAAGAACATGGAATCTGAAGCCAAGTTGCCTGAGTTCAAGTACTAGCTCCTCCTTCACTTTCTACCTATATGACCCTGGGCAAGTTATTTAACATCTCTATGCCTTAGTTTCTCCATCTGAAAAATTGAGATAATAATAGTATATACTTGTATCATTGTTCCAAGGATCAAATAGTTCATATATGTCCCTTGAGAAATTTAACAGTTAAACTTTAAAATAAGACATATTTCATCTGGAAAATTAACATTTCAGTGTTAGAAATATCAAACAAGTGATACAAAATAAATGCAATAGAAATAGGAGAAAAAGATCACTGAGATTGTAGTACCTAGGCAAGAGTTCATGGAGGAGCAGTCAGGTGGTACCTTTCACAGACTCTTAACCCCACACCTCCACCAGCATTTGCACATCTGCAGTTGTGCTCTGCCTTCTCATCCATGCCCACAAACTCTGCTTCTTCATCTGTAACACAGACAGACTTCCCTGCTCTTGTCCGTAACCGGTTCCCCCACCAAGATACTGGAACCCATCCCTTTTTGCCTGTGTAAAGACATTACTCTGGCATTTTTCTTTTCTCTCTTCTGCATTATCAATTTCTTATTCTCTGCTGGATTATTTTTGTGCGTATTTTGAGCTTTTTGTAATTTCGCTCACTAAAAAACAACAAAGCAAGAGAGTTTCTTGACTTCACTACTACTATGAGCCACCACTCTATTTTTGTAATCCCCTTTGCAGCAAAACTTTTTAAAATTGTGCAATTAGCTCTAATTCTTCTCCTTACTTTCTCTCTTAAGCCCACTGCAGTTGGGCCTTGACCCTGTGACTATAAAAACTGCTCTCATCAAGGTCACAGTAATGCCTACATGGTTAAATCCAGCAGTCTGATTCCTAGTCTTCCTCTTAACTGGACCTATCAGCAGCATTTGACACAGTTAGTCCTTCCTCTTTGATACACTTCACCAAACTTCCAGACTAAATTCTTAGTTTTCCTTCTGCCTCATTTGGTCATCTCTTCCCACTCTTTACAGAATTGCAGACTAGTATATTTTAACAGTCTACTCAACATTTCCACTAAGTTGTCTTACAAATTCTTCAAACTCACAAGTGCAAAACTGGGAACTCCAAATCTCTTCCCCTAAAAAAAAACTTGTTCTACTCCGCAGTCTTCCTCATCACATTGACAGAAGTTTATTCTTCCCTGACTTCTTTTTCTCACTTCCACATGGAATCATCAGCTAATCTTTTTCTATGTTTTTGTTGTTGTTGTTGTTTTGTTTTGTTTTTGTTTTGAGACAGAGTCTTGCTCTGTCACCCAGGCTGGAGTGCAGTGGTATGATTTTGGCTCACTGCAACCTCCACCTCCCACGTTCAAGCAAGTCTCCTGCTTCAGCCTCCCAAGCAGCTGGGACTATGGGAGCACACCACCCTCATCCAGCTAACTATTGTATTTTTAGTAGAGATGGGGTTTCACCATATTGGCCAGCCTGGTCTCGAACTCCTGACCTCATGATCCACCCACCTCGGCCTCTGTGAGGTGGGTAGATCACGAGGTCAGGAGTTCGAGACCAGTTGTGAGCCACTGTGCCCAGCCTCTGCTTTTAAATATGCAGAATGTGAGTCACTTATCATCTCCACTGCCGCCTCCCTGGTCTTAGCCATGATCGTCTCTTGCCTAAATTACTGTAGTAGCTTTCTGAATGGTTTCCTTGCTATTGTCTTTGCCTCCCTACAATCTGCTCTCAACTCAGCAGCCAGAATAATTCTGTCAAATAACAAGGTTACATCAGGAATTCTCAACCATAGTACTAACATTTGAGATAAGATGATGTTTTCGTTGTCCTCTGTGCTGCAGAGTATTTAGCATTTCTGGTCTCTCTACCCTCTAGATACTATTAAGTACCCCCCTGAGTTGTGACAACTGTAAATGTCTAGACCCTACCAAATGTCCTCTAAGAGTCAGAAACACTAGATTTTATCACTCTTCTGCCCAGAACTCTAATGATTTCCCATTCCACTAAGAGTAAATGATGAGCTCCAACTCCTTAATTGTAGCCTATGTTGTGGTGCCTGACCCGACCACCCTATCACCCCTTCATTTCTTTGACTTCATCTGCTTCCAGCTTTTCTCCTTTACACTAATGCTGTCACACCGCTTCCTTTCATTCCTTGGGTATAATCAGCCTTAGTTCTACCTTAGGGGCTTTATTCTAACTGTTTCCTCTGCCTAGATCAAATCTTATAGATTTCTACAGGGTTAATTCCTCCACTTCCTTCAAGTTTCTGTTTAAACTATGCTTTGCCAGTAAGGCCTACTCTGATCACTATATTTATTCTGTAACTTTATCCCTTCTCGTAACATTTCTGAAAGCCCTTACTGGCTCTGCTTTTTCCGTAGTATTTATTACCATGCAACATGCTAAATAATTAACTTGTGTTTGTCTGCCCCTGTTAGTATGGGTTCCCCACAAATATTTACTGTATCATTCTAAGGTTTTTCTTCTCTTTAAATTATCAGTTTGTTTTGCTGAAAAATATTGTTTTAAATGAGTGGAGGAGGGAAAGTTAGAGCTAGAATTGGAAGGATAGGATTATTATAGATTAAAGGGAAGCAAAGTGAAGAAGAAAAATTTCATAAACCAAAGTACAGGGTATAGAAATGTATAGTCACTGTGAAGACAGGTTTTTTTTTTTATTATACCAGCCTGACTGCAGTTAGTGGTTCAGGATTTGTTGAAGAAGAACGATACAACTCAGAAGAGAGGTTGGAACCAGGTTGAATGCATATGAAGTACAAGCCTATTGGAAATGGGAGAGTTTTTTTAAGATTTGTGAATTGGAGAGTGATAAAGGTGAAAGGGGTATTGTGACAGATACTGTGATTTGGCTCACTTAAAATCCATTTCAAAGTTCTTCTAATGTTCCTTCCTATAGAGGAGAGGCTAAAAAGCTATCAGCATCTCCCAGATTCCCTTCAGGTAGAGTTCTAGATATTATTTAGTTCCCATCAATCATATGTGTTTGCTTGCGATTTAAATTGAGAACTGAGTTAAATAGGGAGAAAGGGGTGTGAGGCATCCAATTTGCTGAAAACAAGACATTATGGTTCTAGATCCAGCATATTAAAAACAGTTAATTCATTTGGTCTTCTAGTTCCCTGTTAGACGAGTCATGTCACACTCCAGTAGGTAAAGATAGTTTAATAATCTATTTAATGTTTGTAGTTTAGGCTTATCTATACCAAAATAAGTGTGTTTTCTAGGATACTTATACCCAGCAAGCGCATATATATTTATAAAATAATTTGCTATACTTAAGCATAAGAAAATTTTGCCTTCCTGAAAATCAGGATTTGCCTTTAAATTAGCATTTAACATTATGATCATTTTTGTTTCCTTAAGAAGATATTAGCCATTTGTTATACCTTAATAGTTACCATTTAAATCTAAAAGAATAAAGGCGTATTTTAGTGGAGGGATTTCTAATTTTTGAGATAAAGTCCTTTAATTTTTTAGGGTTTCT